ATCACGATTTTCCCCAAAAAATATCAAGAGAAATCGTGATATTTTTACATACAATTTCTACTACAATTTCAAATGAATTTTCATAATAGTTCTTAAAAATATGCTATAAAAAGATAACTTTACTTCTTATATTTTTTATTTATTTAATATAAAGCATGTTTGGGTGCCTTTGTTTAACTGATTTCAACATTTGTTACACATTCTGTAATTGCTTTTCAATAGTTTGAACAAATAAATAAATAATTTCCGGAATTTATAGTTATGTACAAAATAGCGGTATTTTAGTCTCCGTATCACGATACATATCACGCAATAAAAAAAGGTACCGGTACACCGATAAAATAGCGCATCCCTAATACCAAACCATGGTATCTGATACTATTTCTAATGTTTTCAGAGGTCTATGTTAAGAGGTCAGCTCGGAATATGTATTGTTTAATTAGATTTTTAAGTATAATATATTGTTCGTTATTTTTACATTTTATTTATCGATGTGACAGATTAGTACATTGTTGTTAAACATATTTAAATATTTTTTTCTCACGAATTATCAGACATCCGTGTAAACTTGTATAGTACAAAGTCCTTTTTAAACACTCGAAACGTAAACCATGACATAGAGTGACTGAAAAATCTATCAAGTGGATCATCTTATCTACTTTCTAGAGTTTGCTCATGTATTAGTTAGTGGTTTTGCTCATGCCTTATAACAAGATGGGTTATGTACCACTAAATATCCTATAGATCTAGCAATGCTAGCAGTCAGGCACCAAGCATCGGAGGGGGAGGGGGCAAAGAATGGTCTGCCTCCTTTTTAAAAAAACTATTTACTATTGAAAATATTCATTGAAAAGCCGGTCCCCCCTTTTTGGTGCAGTGTAGCCAAATAAGGGTAATGTAGTAGTGTATGAATAAAATTTGGTACTGAAAAAGTTGCCCCCCCCCTCCCCCTTCCCACGAAATATGATTTTGAATTTTGGACAATATTCTTTTTTTTTAATTTGCTTGTCAAGTTTTTACAGGTAAGGTGAAATGTTTTTTCTGTGACTGTCCCCCCCCCCTCCATCAAAAACGATGTTACGTACCAAACAGTATCATCATTCTATTAAAAAAGACACCTTTGCAAGGAAAATACGTTTATACAAATAATGAAGAAGGGATTAACTACCCATAACAAGGTCAAAAGTACCCTATGTTACCCTGCTTAAGCATTTGATAGGAAAGTGTAGAATGTAATGTGCGCAAGAAGGTGGACATTTCATTATTTTTGCATAATACATTTTGATATTAAATTTGAAATCACGTGTATCATAATGCCTTGAGCAAAACAAAAATTTAAGAGATAACTAGGAAGCTACTTACGAGAATAACCTGTTATTTTACACAATAGTTTTTTAAATAGATTTAATCTAAAGCAATACCTTGATGGTTAAGTTCCTTGTTGATTTCTTATAATCAACGAAACAGAATGACAGCTGTATTCTTCACAAAGGCTTTCTCTACTTGTAGAGAACTCAATACTTTAAGGCTGTGGCCATTCTTCTAATATACTAAATACAGTTAAACTGGAACACTGATATCTCGAATACAATGGATATGTCGAAGTGATATTAAAGTCCAATCCACTTATTCTTCAAGAATATTACGCTCGATAATTCGAATCCTTGGATATCTAGAAGTTTTTTCTCGGTCCCATCGAGTACGACATAATAAGGATTGATTGTAATAATCATTGTCTTTTATGTTGGTGGTTTATACGTCCTTGATTTTCTGTCATTTAAGGATAATTAAGGTTTTTGAACTTTGACTTTTTATACTCACTAACCGTAGCACAATTAAAGTAACGTAACATTTAAATATTTTAGCATATTACTTAGGATGCATAGAAAAACAATCACAATTGTTCAATATCACTGCAGATTTTTATTGAAGGAAAAAGAAGCAGAATATTTCCAGTGTGTATAGTTATATATATTTTCCTCCTTAGTGACAAAACGCATGGAAATGAATTTTTATTTCAATGTAATAAATTAAAATTAATCGATATAATAACTCGAAACCAATGAAATGAAATGGGTGTCAAATGCGGTTTGATATGCTTGTCTCAATGAATTGATCGCCTGTTGATTTTTAGACATTATCAATATTTTGGACTCATTGATTTCGGTTTCCCTGAAGGAATTCAGTGACTGGCTGACCTACATACATGTAGCATTTTTGTACGTATTTACTGTCTTAATTGTTTTTTAAACACTACTCACTTTCGCGTGAGTATCCACGTCTTGAATGAAGCTGGACCCCTATATTCATTGGGATTTTATTTATTTTTTTTTTTATTGAAAACTAGGGATGTCAACGAATAGTCGACTATTCGACTATCAGTCGAATGGACCGACGATCGAATAATGAAACGACATTCGAATATTATCATAATTAAATAAATGCAATAAAAGAGTGATAACGTGATGGAATTCTCATCACAAAATTGAGAAACCGTCTTTCCTCAGAGACAGTCGATAAGATAATTTTCCCTCAACAAAAAACGGTTGATTTTCCATGTACGTATAGAAAGTACAGTAATTATAAGTGCTTCACTACTGTTGCCTACTGCGGGAATTATTTATCAGTAACTGCTGTGTTGTTTTTGTAATTAATTACCCACCAATTTACTAGGCTTTGTTTGTAAAATTATAAATTGGACTTGATCTTATACCATGTGTCAATTATTTTTATGTTATTTTAAGATTGATCAAGCGCAAGGAATTCAATTCAATTCACTTAAGGAAGAACCATAAGTGTGACATGTTTTGACACTTCGATAATTATCAAAACAATTCGCTTACATTTTAAACTGTATAAGGACATTTTGATAGCCAGAGCAAACAATAATCGAATAAGCAGTATCTAACTGTTTAACAATTTCACAGGCACTTGACGTGTGGATAGTGTGAGATTACCCCCCCCCCCCTTCTCCAATTTTTTTCATAATAATCTTAAAAAAAAATATATATCTCCTGGGAATTTTTTTTCTTTGCTTACTTCAAATAAAAACTGACTGTATGTACAAACCCATTTATGCCCTAACAAAAAAATACTATAGTAAACTATAGTAAACTATAGTTTACTATAGTTAACTATAGTAAATCAAAGTTCCAAAGTTTTTACTATAGTAAATCAAAGTTCCAAAGTTTTCACTATAGTAAATCAAAGTTCCAAAGTTTTCACTATAGTAAATCAAAGTTCCAAAGTTTTTACTATAGTAAATCAAAGTTCCAAAGTTTTCACTATAGTTAATCAAAGTTCCAAAGTTTTCACTATAGTAAATCAAAGTTCCAAAGTTTTTACTATAGTAAATCAAAGTTCTAAAGTTTTAACTATAGTAAATCAAAGTTCCGAAGTTTTCACCATAGTAAATCAAAGTTCCAAAGTTTTTACTATAGTAAATCAAAGTTCCAAAGTTTTCACTATAGTAAACCAAAGTTCCAAAGTTATTAATATAGTTAATTGAAGTTTCAAAGTTTTCCCTATACTTAATCAAAGTTTCAAAGTTGTTTTCATTAGTTTAACAACTTATGTATTTTCATTATTTTTTTTTTATTATTTAGCCGTTTTAAGGGAGGGGGTAGATATGGGGTTAGTTGGGGCTGGTTTTTCTTGTGCATCTTTATTTAAATATATAAAGTTGTTAATTCAATGCAATATTTACATTCATAAATTTAAAGAAAAATACTTGCTGACTGAAGTTGATGAAGCAGATATTTTGATTCTAAATGACACAATTTTTTTTTAATAATATATTATTTTTCTCCATAAATAAGACTTACGTTACATCTGCATAACATTAAAATTAAAAACATTGAAATAAATATTGCTTATTTATCGGCGCAAGCGACAACCTTTACATTAAAATTCATATCTTGTACATTATTCTTTTAGGGGTGGGGTCGGGTTTTTAAAGTGATCTCTAAAGCTTTTATGAATCCTAACCTTGAATTATCATAAAATGTAAAGAATGGGAATCAAAAACGTAATTCCACGGGATTTATCGTACTTTATCAAAGTTTCAAAGTTTTTACTGTTGTAAATCAAGTTCCAAAGTTTTTACTATAGTAAATCAAAGTTCCAAAGTTTTTACTATAGTAAATCAAAGTTCTAAAGTGTTAACTATAGTAAATCAAAGTTCCAAAGTTTTTACTATAGTAAATCAAAGTTCTAAAGTTTTCACTAAAGTAAATCAAAGTTCCAAAGTTTTTACTATAGTAAATCAAAGTTCCAAAGTTTTCACTATAGTAAATCAAAGTTCCAAAGTTTTTACTTTGGCACTATAGTTAACTATAGTAAACTATAGTTAACTATAGTTTACTATGGTATTTTTTTGTTAGGGTGAATTCTATTGACGGGGAAATCATACATTTTGGAAAATTAGGTTTTGAAATTCAAATAATCATGCTATCCACGCGTTACGTTGCCTAAATTTTGATGTTACTTTTTAAATAGATTTAAGTAAAAGGGTTTCAGGATTATGAATAAATGATGTACCAGTGAAGTTTCAAATACAATTTTATTTTCAGGAAATGTTCCGAATATATTCGACTATCGTTCGAATAATGCAATCGAATAATCGACTAAGGAAAATAAATATTTTGACATCCCTATTGAAAACGCATTTTTTTCCTTTACTTATTTCTTGCCAATGATATTTTTTAGTCTTCAGTACTAGCGACTGGGGGAGACATATAAAATATGGTAATGGTTGTTTAACTGTTTGTCTGTTTGTTCCAAAATCGTAACTAGGCCATAGTCTCAAGTTTTGATTCATTTTGTCCCTAAATAGTCACATATATGCCTAGAATTCGTGTATGACAAACCTACTTATCCCATGACAAAATGAATACTATAATAGACATTTTGAATGCACTTGAAATTATGAAGCGTGTTATGTTGTTTTAACCACTTTTTTAACTATGTGTCCGCAAAAGGACAACACCAAAATGTTTTCTTCTTTGTCTTTCAGAAAGCTCAAATAAAGCATTTGCACATGCGGACGGAAACAGATACGTTTTTTGCTTGACATCAATGGAATTTTCTTTTTCAGATACACATGGTATACCGTAAGCTCTGCACGTGTCGTTTATCTTTATCTGTAAACGCTCAATCAAAAAACTGCGTAATATTTGATTGTGAAGAACAAAGTACCTGTGTAATGATATAAACCGTCAGATGGAAGCACAGATCGTAAGTCTTCTCATTTATTTGCAATCATTTGCAAAGATATTAATTACATATGTAAGTGTAACACGTTTAATCCTCTTAATTTTTACAATTGATATTATTAAAAAAATATATTAAAACATTTTCGTCTGCTGTAATTAGGACATTTACGTTTCTTGTTTATATATATATATATAAATATATATATATATATATATATATATATATATATATATATATATATATATATATATATATATATATATATATATATATATATATATATATATATATATATATATATATATATATAAACATATAAAGTAAGATTATGAAATAATACAGGAAAAATAGGAAAACTTAGTAAAATATGATATTTTGATACGCTTCCTTTTCCTTTCTAGACTGTAAATTTCTTGTTTCTAGGGTATATTGTACAATCTTGTAAAATTGTATATTACTGAGAAAAACTTTCTTGCATTTTTAAAATTTCCTATTTTTAAAATTTCCTTTGAAATGCGAAATTAAAATAGCAATTTCCTATATGGGTCTAATTAAATGTAGCTGTATTTTGATAAGGTCAATACAAATAGAATCCTCTATTGCTGTTATGAAACTGAATTCATAGAAAGGATGATAGATATACTGTTTAAATACGGTAAAAAATGTCGAAGTGATCTATACTACTTCCTCACTTTTAAATTTTTATTCATTTTGATTTTATTTATCATAGGTTGATGTATGATAATAGGCAGGTCAATTTAGGGCAACTACTTGATATCAATTTAACCTTTATCTGGAAACTGGGACAAAGATCAGGATGACTGGGATGAGCAAAACCATACAGCTAAATAATGGGAATGAAATCCCAATTATTGGACTGGGTACTTGGCAGGTTTGTAAGCTGTAATTATTAAATGAGCGCTTTCTTGAGTCTTATGCATTCCAGAGGACAACCTTTTAATTCTTTTTTTTTCTACCAGCTACAGGATTATTAAGAAGTTAGGTCTACAATTGCCAAGGGTTAATGATCTAATTAGATAACGTACAGGGTTATATTTTCTCTTATTTTATCATTACTGTCTAGCTTTCCTTTCTCAATGATTTTAAATTTTTACAGGTGATACTTTTTTAGTTTCTATGCATTACATTTTAGCTACAAATTAAAAGTCAAGTTTTATAAAAGAAAAAAAAAATATTCCAAAGTGGATTGCAGTTTAATGTCTTGTGAGCAACAGTAGAACGTTTGACAAGCTAAAAGCTGACTAAACATACCTGTCTGTAAAATTTACATTTCTGACATAAAGACAGTCATTAATCATCTGGAAATATATATAGGGTAATTTATGCTCTGTGACGTCAAGGGTGTATTTCCTCTTTAAAGTGCATCGTGTGTAAGCTAATGTTAGCATGCTCTTGCATATCAAATTCACTGAGAGACTTAAACCCCATATACATGTGATAAGGGCATCTTGTTTCTTGTATTCTTGTTTCATCAACTTGTTTATCAATAGTTTGCCTCGTTTTAGAAATTGTTTGTATATAGAGTGTGTATTTATTCCCCAGTGGGTGTCACTTATTTTTTAATTGTTTAGAGTTCAAAGGAAGAGCTCAAGACAGCCCTGCGTGCGGCCATAGATGTGGGATACAGACATATTGACACGGCCTATAACTACATGAATGAGGATACAATTGGTGAAGTTCTACAGGAATACATTAACAGTGGAAAAGTGAAAAGAGAGGAATTGTTTATCGTAACTAAGGTACATTCATTTAAAGCACATATTACTTGCTTATATAGTGTGACTATATAAGTCTTTAAAAAGATATATAAAAGTCTACATCTTTATATAGTCTTTTATATGTCTTCTTAAAGACGTATAAAGACATTTTCTGTAACCAATATAAGTCTTTATAGTTTATATTGGTTACAGAAATTGTAACCTTTGACAATCTTGTCAATTTTACCAAAGAAAGGCATTAAGTTCAGAAAACAAATACTTGCACACTATTAATTCCAATGGATCGTTTCTATATTTTTGATAATGCTTCCTGAAATTTTATATTTCAGTATTTCAAAAGAGAACAAATACTGTACATGTACATAAATTGGCATATTAAAAATTTTGCGCAATCACTTGGCATGGAGTTGGTGGCGTAATTTTGAATTAGCGCTACATGTGTCCATGGCGTGTATTGTATTTATGATTTCAAATCGGTATTCATGAATTAGCGCATCGTTGTCCGCGCCAAAGCTGCTAAAATATGAAGACCGCTTTTTTCAAGTTCACATACAATAGTTTCCCCTCGACGGGTTTTGAATGATTGTATGTCACTATACTAGATAAGAAATATTTCAGCTTCCAATGATTCATATGGATCCAAATCTGGTGAAGAGATCCATAGAGATAAGTCTGAAGAAACTGCAGTTATCGTATGTAGATTTGTACCTGATACATGGTCCTATACCTCTAGAGGTAAGATTTAGATGGATTCTCGTTTAATAAATAACTTTTATTTTTGGGTAACAGATCCAGTTTACATTTCAACTTATTCCAAAATCCAGACTTCAGGGGGAAAAGGACACTGATCGCATTACCTTATTGGTTACGCCATAGGTCCTCTTTTGCTTACATCTTAGTGAAATTGTCATTTTACTGCGCGCAAACCTCTTGCATAGGCGTAGGAACGGGGGGGGGAGCTAGGGGGTTTAGCCCTCCTTCTTTTTTTCCAAAGATAGACATAATATAGGCATTGAAAATTGGGGCTTACCCCCCCCCCCCCCGACGTTTTTTTGTTGGTTTAGCCCCCCCCTTTCCCATTTTCAATTTGCTCCCGATGCCTTTTTCTTGTGTATTGTACATGTGTTCTTTCGTCTGCAGCTTTGACACTGCTGATCTTGTCACTTGTGATTCTACTGCCTTATTTTATATGTTGTACATTTTTTAACACATGCACACGGCGGGTGTGACCGGTCGGCAGGGGATGCTCACTCCTCCATGGCACCTGATCCCACCACTAAATTTTGAGGTCTGTGTTTGCTCTGCTTCAAAGTTGTATCGTTTCATTGGAATTTTGAGAATGAATACTGTTCGCTATCTTCACATTTCGTGCATGAATTATTGCAAAATGATGCTGAGCACAATTTTTGTGTATTTTTACCTTATGATGGTGAAGTGCTGTCTTATTTTATCGATCTCATCGGCGTTAGATTTGAAATACACTTCCATACACTTCCATATTTACATATATCGCTGCGTGAACTACTTTAGAGGGAGCCTTGATTTAAATCTTGAGTTTTATAACAAAACAGCGTAATCTGAGATGTTTCCATATTAATAGGTATTGTACTGTTCAGCTTGTCCGGAAATCGGAAATTGTCCGGAATTTCCATAGATCCCTGAAACGTTTACATTAAGTATAAATTTTCCCGATAAAAAACACAATCACCGATGGGTCATAGAGGGTTATATAAGGAATCCAGCCCCAGCATCTTCTCACTTTTCATCCCTTAAGGTTGTTTGATAAGAAGCAAATCTTCAAAGAAAGCCTGAAATATTCAAGATGATCAATCTTGTAGTGAATGATGCTAATTTTATAGAGATATCGCATTCGGATAGTGCAGAATATAGGAATTTTTTTCAGTCAAATAGAACAGTAATTTATCTATTTATAGTTTGAGTTATTAATCATGGTTTATGAACGCAAAATTCTTAAGGAGTTAGTTGTCATAGTTTTCATAGGCGTTTATTTCTTAGTTTTTAAAAGTGACGTTTATTTGTTTTAATAGTTTTCCGGATTACTTGTTCTGATTCAAAATGGTTTTTTTTTTTTTTTTTTTTCTTGTCCAGAATAAGTTTCCGAATTTTAGACAGTATTTGTTTGCATTAGCTTGAGCTGAAAGTGAATACATATTTGAAGCATACACTTGTTCAGAATTGGTCACACATAATAGAATAGTGATATCAGGGATAGTGCGAGATATAGTTTATGCGTGATTCAGATGTCTTAATAGTTAGGATTGTCCAGATGGACGCATGTTACATTATTTTGGGCATATCCCGGTAATACTTTAAGTAATAAGCCTAAGAGACAATCATATAATAATTAGAATTAATTAAATAAAATCAATATCTATAATCTGAATTATATATCTTGAAAATAGTCACAAGGAGTCATGCTAGATATATTCTTTAAACATTAATCAAGTGTTCCTTGAGTCAAAGGGCGGGTCACAAGGTACTTCAACAGAAAATGCATTGATATGTAATAGATCGCTATTTACTGTGATACATGTACAAGTATATTGAAAGGAGTTTTATAAATTCAAAAGAATATCTTTTTCAGATCATGTAATATTCATTAGTTGTAAAATTTTTAGAGGTCTTGTTACAATAAAACAAAGCAAAAAAATACATCTAGTCAAAAAATATCCGAGATATGTCAAAAGTGTTTTTTTTTTAGGAAGTAGAATAAAGATAAACATTTAAACTCTATTGCACCGAAAGAATAAGAATATTTACTGTAAATGTGAAGGATTGACAAACAGGCAAACAAAGCTATGAAGGGTGGGGAGAGTGGTTTTTGAGGGTTAGAATGATAAGTAAGTCTCCTTCTGCTTTTAAGAGATCAGTTTTGGGACGATTCCCAAAGAAAGGCTTATTTGTATTTCATTATAGACCTGACAGAATAGAAAACCTTATTAGGGATTCTCAAATTTTTAATGGAGGGGATAAAATCAGAATTTACATAACAAAGTTTAACACACAGACACTTAATGGGATATGTAATGCTTATTTCAGTATGATGGAAATGACAACAATATTTTCCCACTAACTGAAGACGGAGGCTGGAAAATAGCAGAAAAGAGTGACCTTTTGGGAACATGGAAGGTATATTTTACGTAAGCTCTCTCTCTCTCTCTCTCTCTCTCTCTCTCTCTCTCTCTCTCTCTCATTATATTTACATAAATAAAATCAACTCAATATGGGTTTAACAGGCGATGGAGAAACTTGTAGACTTTGGACTGACCAAATCTGTTGGAGTGTCTAACTTTAGTATTTCACAAATTGAAAGGATCTGCAAGATGGCTGAACACAAACCTGTCACAAACCAGGTGAGCTGGGCCTTACCTTTCTCAGAGTTTCATCAATGAGAAAATTCGCCCCCGTTGAAAATTTAGCTTTATAGGAAACACATTGAAAATATATAACAATGCTTAGGCTCAAACTAAAGACGAAAAAAAAAACATCACAGAAAAATCTCTTATTGAGTTTTTAGATAGAACTTTTGTTTTTTTTTCTGTCAGGTGGAATGTCACATATATTTTTCACAGAAAGAGTTGTTCAATGCCTGTAAGAAGCTTGGAGTTACATTGACAGCTTACAGTCCAATTGGTTCTCCAGGAAGGCCTAAAAATCTGTATGTATAACAATCAACGTACCAAAAATACACTCCTGGGAGTTGAGATTTTCAACCATTTAAGGAAAAATCAATCATCAAAATTTTCAGTTTTACCATTTCCCCTTCTTTCACAAATCTTACACACTTATCATTAGTTTTAACATAAGTTTAAAATGTTGAGCAAATAATACTAGTATTACATGTACCATGTATATTTTGTATTGGGTACAGAACGTTTCAGCCAGTTCATCCAACAGTAGTGCTTATTGAATAAATCAGGTAAAAAGCTAAAAATTAAAACAAGTTATAGAAAAGTCAGTTGTTTTCTATTAATGCAAACACAAAACTAATTCACAAATGTAAGAAATGTTTGGACACAAAACAGCGTTCCATAGGAAGAGAATGTTGAAAATCAAAAAATCTGGAAAAAGTTCTATATCAAAATGATATTCATGGTATGCAAATACTTGAAGAAATTGAAGTACTGAGTGACACCCTATAAAATAAATCAAGAACGGTAAAAATGAAAAATAGGATGTTGACAACATTACAACTGTTATTCATATGTTTGCAAATGTGGATTAGAAAAACTTGATGTAATAACATTCATATTACTGAAATAACACAATGATATCAATAAGATGACAATACGTACATATGGGTGGTATATATACAATTTCCAAAATGAAGAGTTCCTGATGTATATATCAAAAATTATATATTTATGTAATTAATAATTATTAAAAAATATAATGTGGTATTCTTGGGATTCGAAATCAAGCAATAAGAATCCTGAGTATCATTTCAGAAAAATATGGAGCGAAGACCCACTCATATTTAAAATTTGAGTTATAGTACTTCGGTGTATGTGTGCTATTTCAAAGACAAACGATTTGAAAATTTTTGAGATTTTTGCAAATTGCGGAGATTCTATATAAAGAATACTTTAATGCTAGATGAAGTATCAAGGAAGTTTTTAATTGAGATTTTTGTTTCACTTTTATATTTGTAGCACAATAGAGATTTCGCTCGACTTGTTGGCCCATTTTCTTCTAAATGTTTCACACTAAGATATGATATTTTAGAAAAGAGGCAGATGAACCTGTTGCTTTAGAAGATCCTATCATCCAAAGAATAGCAACGAAATATGGAAAAACGCATGCACAGGTACACTAACAAAAAGAATGAACGGAAGATATCTCATTCACTATATCTATGTAGAATTAATGAAGTATCTTTCTGACGTTAAGTGTATTATGTATTAGAAAGGGTGCTTATTTGTTATATAGATAAATTGAAATAACTTTTTAAAAAGAAATTAAGGAGATATAGTATTACCTTGTTTGGGATCAAGGTACAGTTTTAGGGAAGAATGAAAACACATATGTATTAATAAAGATTTCGACTCTTTTAAATGAAAGAAATAAAAATCAGCCTATTACATGTACTATGGTTTCTATATGAACGTTTTGGATTTTTTATGCAATGCGGATTTTTTTTTTTTTTTTTTTTTTTTTTACAGATTTTGCTTCGAAATCTCATCCAAAGAGGTATTATTGTAATTCCAAAGAGTGTGACTCCAGAAAGAATACGTAGCAATTTCCAGGTATCAGCAAATGCTTGTATTATCTTTATGTTACAGTTTTTTGTCAACTTGTGAGGCAAAAGCTATCATTAATCGTTTAATTTTTCACAAGTTTGATCGTAAATCGTTTGAAGTATAGAAGAAATCAATCGCATAAATTATCAGGATCCCTACAATTTATATCCAAATAAGATAATTTCAATTCAAATTTTAAAAAAGTATAGAAACACAACAACCCATCTCTTATTTCTTTGGAATTGTTGATTTTTCAAAGTAAAATATTTCAAAAACTTCTTTTACTTTAAAATTTGAAATAAAAACATGCATTAGGAGTATATCCAGAATTGTTCTTTGCAGGTTTTCGATTTTTCTCTATCTGAAGAAGAAATGGGAGATATTGATCACATAACAATACAAAAACGTTACTTTGACATGTCTACAAAGTGAGATATAAACATATGTATATATATTTCAAATTACAAAATCATTCTGTAAATCTTTGCGTTTGGGTTAGCACTGTCATACTTGTCTTGTGTTTTTATGAGGCAAAAGTTTACAGACGTTGCTATTACATATACGTCCTTACAAACATTACGCTAACACTTTTTTTTTAGGTTCAAGGATCATCCAGAGCGTCCATGGTGAAGAAGAAAATACAAACAAAATATTAAATCATTCAGACTGCCTTCATCATCTGTAAACTCATCTCTCTCTCTCTCTCTCTCTCTCTCTCTCTCTCTCTCTCTCTCTCTCTCTCTATATATATATATATATATATATATATATATATATACATATATATATATATATATATGATCTTTTAACAATATACAACAATTTTCTCGCTTTTTGAAAAATATTAACGATAATCTTAGTTTGTATGTAGGAATGTATGTCAAACAAACACGCCTGAAATTCGTTTTTTTTTTTTTTTTTATTGTAAAATAAAAAGAAGTTTCCAGTCATGCTTTTGTACTATATCGATCTTAAACGCTCTCGCACCATGTTAAGATATGAAATTTTACGGAAAGTTTTGATGGATATGAACATTAAAACTGTATCCCCTTTAAATTAAAGCAAAGAATAAATTCATTTCTACAAAAGAACCCTTACGTGATTTTAAGCATGCAGTTTCTATAATGTGTAACATATCAAAATGGGTTCTTTGATGAAAGTACAGTAGCTATCGTTTGATCTGCTGGCAACTCAAAACGATCTGGCTCTTTAGATCAAGTTACAGTATTTAATGTACAATCCGTATTATTTATCAAACAAGTGTAAATATACGACGCAATTAAAATTCAAAGTAGATACTGAACACTCCTAGAAGGTGGTGGCAAATTCTGCAATGAATGAACATGATAATCGACGCAGTTATGAAAAATAGCAGAATAAGCAAAATTAACTACCACAAGCTAACAAGGGAAATTGACCAGATATAGGTCAATGTACGACAACTTTAGGTTGTTCAGACTCATCTCTAACGACCTTTTCACCAGTGACGGATCCATATGAGTAGGAGGAAGCTAAAAAGTAAAACAAACACTTTCCGGGGTTAATTTAGACGATGTAAGAAATGTATATGTCCAGAAGAACAATGATTTGCAATTGAAAAATCCTTGAATACAAGATAACAACAGAAGCAGTGAATACATATTCAGATTAGCTAAATGATTATCGTATGCAAAAATAAACGACACTTGCTATCTAGCTAAGAATCGATTTCATAATAATGTCAAACAATAGGATAATTTTAGAAGTTCAACGCAACATTTCCTTAAAAAATGAAAACGTTTACCTTTGTAACAATAAAGATATCTTCTCTTTTGACTTTCCCACGTTTCATATAGTCCTGCAGAACCTCTCCGATAGCATCTTCATTTTTATACATGAAGGCTGTGTCAATATGGCGGTATCCTACGTCTAATGCAGCACGAACAGCAGTTTGTACCTCGTCTTTGGAACCCTGCAAAAATCCATTCATTGTTATGCCATTATTTTTACACTGAGTTGTCAACGGATTTCTCTAAACAAAGCTTTTAGGAAGAAAGTTGGAAATATACAGCTTTAGAAAAAAAAGATAAAATAAAATAGAGTGATTTTAAGAAAAGTTTATTCCATACGTGAGATGCTAAAAAATTTTTGCCATGTTGATGAGCAGATAGATATAAATTTTCTCAGTGATGCAATTTGTTTGGGATTCCTTTCATCCATGTGGTGTGACAAACAAGCTGATTTTAAAAGCGGAGAAAATTCTAAATAATCCACAAATTCAATTTTTCTTTGTCTATACTATCAGCCTTGCGTAAAAAGCCAGCAGAGATTATTATTTTAAAGAACTTGTATCATGCTCATAAAAAAATGACAATTTTAGGTAATTTATTTAATCTACAACCTTATTTATTAAAATACGAGGGGCATCTGATAAGCTCTGAGAACTGATCGATAAAATATTAACCGTTAAACGGAAATTACTGAGTTTGATATCATTGGACAGATCACAAAAATATACACATATTGTGACATCCCTTTGTAAATTTTATTACGTTATAACTCAGAAAATGACGTCAGAATCTCGAATGTCTAGCATACTGACCATAAAAATGACGTAACAAGAGACACAATTTCTGTGAAATAAAATTTTAAAGTCAACATTTGTTCATTACTCGGATGCACGCTAACGGACACAACTACCAATTGGTAGAATGTTTACATAGACTACAGTCTATCATATGGAGGTTATATTCAGGAGCTCTTATAGTTCTGAGGTGGTTTAAGGGTGTGTCAAACATAGCATGTTATTATCGAATCTCGCGCAAAATATTGGATAAAAAAGACGCTGCTGTGAGAAAAACACAAAGTTTAAAACCACAGTAGAATAGTTGAAAGTGTTACAGAATTTGCTGGCATTAATTCGTCAGGTATTTTAACCAATTATGTGGGAACGATTAAAGCTCAAGAGAGGTTAAGCTAAAGATGTCCCATTATTTTCTCGTAAAAACCAAAATGGCGCCGGTGTAGTTTTTAACCCCACCGTAACTCGATATGTTCGAAAATTTTCAATCAGGGAAAATAAATAAGATTATACATGGCAATGAAACTCAGATTTATTTTCTTGAGTCGAAAGTCAAAAGCAATAGTGAGTTTTGGATTGCCGAAGTTGAAATAATATGAAAAAATACGCACAGAAACTTGTCCCGGGGAAGACTTTTGTACGTCTTATTCGTAAACGGGAAGAGTCCTGACTCTCAAGATACATTTGTGGAAAACTGCATTGTTACACTTCAGTTTTATATAGAATATGTTTTATTTAATATAGTGGAGAGCTTTATAATAGACCGAAAATTCAGCTATATCATATAAATAAAAATCTGTTATGAACGCCTAAGATAAAATTACCGTCTTATTAACTAAGCAAAAAATAAAAATGTGCAATTGCTGATTAACCGTACCATTCTTATAGTCTTACTCTACTTCCATGCAAATTTTCTTTGCAATATCTTTTCAAAGAAGCCTTTGACAGCACTTTTTCGGTGTTCTCATGTGAACAAAAAACGCGACTTTTCAGTATGCTCAACATTCGAGATTCTGACGTCATTTTTAGAGTTATTACGTCATAAATATAAGAAAATGACGTTCATATAAGTGCAAATTTTTCAGCTTTTTTCATTGGTATCAAACTTATTAACTTCTGTGAAATGGTTAATATTTTAGCAAGCAGTTCTCAGAACTTTTCAAATGCCCCTCGTACTGATTTCAATAAATGTTGTTCTATGCATATTTTAAGCGATAGTAAAAGTTGAGTGTTGAAATTCAAATACGGCGATATGCATATTTCAATCGGATTTCGACGAAATACTGGTCTGGCGTCATAGGCGACAATTAAGTGACAGAGATATGAGAAATTGCACACTATTCATGGGGATATCAACGACAAATGCTGAAAAGAGCTAGGTTCACTTTATGCATAAAGCGGTCCTTTTCTTGTATCAATTAATTGACTATCACCCTCTGTCCCATTTCATATATCATAATAATGTACACATGTATAGAGACTTAGCGCACTCAATTCCTAGAACAAAATTTCTATTTGAGAATTCAGGTATTGGAAAACAGGCTTTGTGAAAATGTAATGTTCTTAAAATTTGCAGAAAACAGGCTTATTTGACTACATTCAGCAAAGAATTAAAATATGATCACAGCCCCCGATCCAAAAATTAAAACATGCTTTATGATCTTATGAAACAGACCTTTCATTATGTAATTGCATATTCTGGATCAGAGGTTGTGCTCTATATGAAATATTGAACAAAAAAATACCCCAAATTTTGGCCATTTTTAAAGGAATTTACAGGATATAGAAAAAAATGATGCATTTCATGACGTCATAATTCATTGACTATGCGGAAAATTACATCATGTTTAATAAATACACGGTCACCAAAGGTCCAAGTGATAAATACTGTATTGTCAACAAAAACTGAGCAGTTTCAATTTTTCAGAAACTCACAGGACCAAAAAAGGCCCTAAGTGGCCCTTGCTCTTTTAATTCCTAACGTGTCAATAACTATAAAGAAATATAGACTTGTTCTCAGGTATAAGGCTTTTGTAATAATTTTGTAATATTTTTTTTTTATTATTATTATTCTAAACTTTTGGAATCTGTAGCTATGTTTTGTGATAGGATCGACATAATTTTTTTCAGTCCGTCAGCCTTTACAAAATATATGAAGGTATAATTGCATAAATTAAATAATGAAAATATAATAAAAATAAACAATAGAAAGTTATATAATGTTAATTTTTGTAATGAAATTGGTTAATACATGTGATGAGATGAAAAAATCAATTTGTATTGTTAGGCGAGTCTCTTCGTCTTCGCCGGGTCTCCCTTGCTATTTTTGCTGCTATTTTACAAATGTTGTCAGATTTTACAGATTTTTTTCTTGCTGACAGTTCAGACATCTAAGGTAGGATAGCCAAATTCATAGTGTATCATGTATATTTTAGTAAGATTAACGTGAAGAGCTGGTCAGCAATTGTCGTCTTTGACTTCACACGGTCACGTGATCGATATCTAATTAACTTGGATTTTTAATTCAGGGGTTTTTATTTGAGTTAATAAGTGTTTAATTACGCAGTAAAAACACAAAATTTATACACTGTGATCATAAGGAACGTACATGTAATACGCTTTTAATTTCAACTTATTGAAAACATGCGATAAATCCTTAAAAAGGCAAGTATGGGTTTGTCTGTTGCTTAATCCCACTAATATCTTTAAATAAACAATTCTATAAGGTAATTAAGTAAAAAGTACCGGGTATGTCAATTTCACAATGTTCATTTACACTGTATCTAGGTACTAGTTTGTATATCTTTCCTTTTAAGTACTAGTTAATTGTATGAGCATTTACTAAAATCAGCATATTAAACATCGTCGGAAACCCACGGCTGATTACGCTTCGTTCCTCTCTCCATCGTGATGGAGAGGGGAACGAAGCGTAATCAGCCGTGGGTTTCCGACGATGCACATTAAACTGTTGTCAGAGATTTCTATTCTCCAAAATTAACTTACTGTTTTTCCCACTAGCTAAGACGTAGTCATGCTAACAATCCTTTGGTGGCATACTTATGTCCCCTACATGCAAGATGAATTATGTTAACATGCAACATCAATAAGAAGACATGCCACTTATGTATGTAAACTTTTGAGCTTGAATACTGTTTCCT